CTATCCAACTCTACGGTAAAAATGGGAGACCCAGATGTCTCTCTCCACAGTGACACTTTAAGGATCCTTCTGAAAGATCTTAGAACATTTGTGATTAAAGCACTGGGTGCTTCAATTACATTTGTGTTTCCTCTCAGTAAAAACTTGCCTTAGAAAACGTCCAAAAGAAGGTACCCATTTTAATCAGATTGTAGAAGCTTATTTAGACATAGGAAAACCTTGTTTGTTTTTTTCAAAACGGGTCTCTCTTGTAACTGAGATATTGAATCTCAATGAGACAACCTGTATAAATAGACGTAAAATGAAAAAAAATTCTTTCATTGTGGAGCATTTACAATGCTGACATACTGTACGTAAAAAATTATAGTGTTTTAAGTGTAACTTAAAACCTGTTAAAGTCCAAAAGGTGATCTAACCTGAATGCTGGATATTATTATTTTGGTCAGATTCATATAAACTTTGGACATTCATAAAATGAGGAGCTTTTCTTTTTGACAGAAGTGTTTCTTTACCACAATAAATTGAGGCAGCATCAGTATCTGTGACAAAACTGAAGATTTTCTTATGATACTGACTGCAAAAGATTTCCTTATGTGGAAAAAAAATCCCACATTGTGAACCTGACTTAATATCAGCAGAGGACGAAGTACTCAACAGTAGTACTTGACTAAAAGTAATGATACTCATATTCAAATCTTACTCAACTACACTACCAGTAAAAGTTACACGGTCAAACATCTACTCAAATTAAAGTATTGAAGTACTGACTTTTGAAAATACTCAAGTATCCAAAAGTACATGCATTTAAAATACTTAAGTATTGAAAAATAGAAATTAAATTTTCTTACATCAGTGCATTTCTGTCTAATTTTTATAGTAATTTTATAGAACCTTGTAACTTTCAGAAACCACCTGATGTATTGATGTGTAGAACTACCTGCTTCAAATCCTACACCACTTGTGTAGAACATCAGCATAAAAATGCCACTAAAAAGGAAAGCTATTTTAAATATTATTTCTTATTAATAGGAAGCAGGAATGTCTTGATTCTCCTCACACTTTCACTATGGAACAGAGGTTCGAGGTTGAATCTGTTACCACGAAAAAAACTGCAACTTTGCTTTGAGAACTCCTCCTATTAAACACCTTGACCACTCAAATGCCTTGATAGAATTTATATACTATTAATAATATCTACCCATAGTTTCTCCCATTTGTTCAGTGTTACTATCTTGTTCATCAGCACTAACATGCTGCTATCTTGCATTTTGAAATTACATTTCAAGAAATAAAAACAGCAACAGCTGATTACAAATCTAAGCTGAGCCAAAAGTAACAAGGAACTAGCAGCTTCCTAGAAAGGTATTGGAGTAGAAAGTACATTTAACTTTAAGATGTAGTGGAGCAAAAGCTATAAGTTCCCCTCCAAAAAATGATTCAAAAAAAGTAAAGTTACTCAAAAAATGTACTTAAGTACAGTAATCAAGTAAATGTACGTTGTTACTTTCCAGCACTGCTTAATACCGAGTTGATTTGTAAAGGGAGTACGGGAATATTTCTGCTCTAGTATTAGTTAAGGCAAATAAGCATGTATAGTATTTATCGATGTTGTACCTTATTTTTGAGTTCTGTTTGAATCATGTTTGTAGTGACAGTTTAATAAAAGAAACATATTTTAAATTCAGAGGTGTGTAAATTACCAGAACATGGGACTTCAGTGAGAATAGCACTACACCAACATATCTTTATTTATTTCAAGAAACTGTAAAAGTAGGGGTAAAAAAAATAATTGGTAAAAAAGCTACTTGAGTACTGAGTAACTTATATTAGCATCTGATTTACTTTTAATAAATGATTTAATCAAACAGACAAAATTGTTGTTGTTTTTTTGTAAAGCCTGGTGTTTAAAAGATGAAAATTAAATAATTAAACGCACAATTAAAAAAATGTCAAACTCAAGTAGAAGACACCCATCTCTTGATCTAATTAATCCAGCATAAAACTTATGAAAACAATATTTACAGTATGTAATGTACTTTATTTTAGTGTATGATAAACTACATATACATTTTACTGTATATTAGTATGACTGCCATGTGTCATAGAAGGCTTATAATAAGAAAACAATGCCTGTGTACAAAAAAAGATTAATTCAACTAAAATATGCAATATCTCATTAAAATATTATCCGTAAAAGAATAAATTATGGTGAAATAAAACATCTCCTAAAAGTACATTTTTGTCAAAAAGAAATGTATGCAAATCATTAAAAGTAACCTGTAGCTACCGACCACTGTGATTTAGTTGTGTTAAGACCGTTTGTAGATATAGAGAGCACCTGCAGAACTGCAGAATGTATTTCCAGTTCTGACATAAATGGATCTGGTAGTTCGTACCACGTTTGTGAATATTTCCGTCTGTTCTGTGCTAAATCTGTCCTGCATCATGTGACTGAAACACTTCTGTTGGTGTCAGTCATTCCTGCCTGGTGATAAAATAGGAGCAGGGAAATATTTCCCTGATGGTAAATAGCTGCGGTTCTGACCTAAACATGTGATAAAAGAAGAATATTGTTGGAAATAAGCTGAACTTATCAAAGTTATCAGCCTATAACATTCTCTTTGTTTCTCTTTGTCTGTGTGTTCTTTTTTTCTTATGTTTTCTTTCAGGTCATTGCAAACACAGCTGCAAAGTGAGTATAGCAACATTTTTTTCATATGTAATGTGCATGATGTTAAATCAGTTGTGAATTAAAAATATCCCGGCTGGATACAAATCTGTGCCACACTCTACTTTTTTTTCTCATGTCTGAAGATAATACCAGTGCATCTCAATAAATTAGAGTATCACAGAAATGTGAAATTAATTAAATTATTCAATCCTTATAGTTGAAAGGTTTGCAGGCAGAGTAATTTATTCAAAGGAAAACATTTTAGATTTTTTTTATCTGATGAATAAAACCTGAATATAAACTTATATAAATGCTTTTTCTGTGATATGATCTATATCATATCACAGAAAAAGCATTTATATAAGTTTATATTCTAAAAAAATATACTAAAAAAAACTATGTTTTTTTTAGTATATTTGTATTTCATTTGAAATAGTATTTTATGGCCTTTAGCATAATTGGTAGAAAGAGGTGCGAGAGCAACAAATATAGTAATATTTTAGGCTTCATAACTCTCCAAACTTATAGTAATATAAGCTTTGAGCGTTTAGAAGCCAGATCCAACTATTATTACTGACTGCAGCTGGAATCAGTTTATCCAGAAATACCAAACAAAGACATAAATAGGATATGAGCTACAATAGTCAAATTCTTTGTTTTAAACCAGTCTTAAACCAGACTAAATGCCATATTTAAAAAAATGAGCGAGAAACCAAGGTCCCAGAATCTAGAGGAGAAGAAGGATTCAGTGAAGAAAGAGACACTTCTTCTATTGAAAAGCTTGTTATACATACTTTTAAAAAAATACAAATTCTGGATTTAATGATGACTATGTCCAAACCCAAACATTCAAACAAGCTAAAGGCCATTAATAAAACATTTTGTGTTTTCTGAACATCTCACACAGTAAAATATAACTGATGAGATCATTTGTGTAAAAGTAGCACTGACCACGGATGTAATGTAATACTGCCCCGTAAAGTACGGGCAGTCACTTATTTAACAATTTTGTATCTTAAAAAATCAAATTGGTCCTATGTAATATTGCAATTGTATATAATATTTGTCATTTTACTGAAAGCAGCATTTGTCCTTTTACCTTCCTTTGTGTGATGTGATTTTTTTTGTGCTAGTAATTTCAATAAAGTATGATCTATTATGGTAGGCCGAGTAGTTTGTTTACATCTTTGTTCTATTTTTGGTTTGTATGTTTGGGGTTGATGACCTCTAAGGTCAAATCATAACCCTTACTGACTCCCTGATCTGTGACCTGTTCCCACACCTTCCTGTGACCTGATAGCATGGAGTACACCCCCAGCTTCAACCCCATAGCTCTGAAAGACTCAGCCCTGTCTACCCACAAACCCATCGAAGTAAGGGGCCCAGGAGGAAAAGCTACTATCGTTCACGCTCAGTACAACACACCAATCAGCATGTACTCACAGGACGCCATCATGGACGCCATTGCAGGACAGTCACAGGCCAAAGGACACGACAGGTGAGACGAAACATCAAAATTAATCCAATTTTATTCCTTCACCTCCTTTCTTCGTGCATTAATATTTCATTACATTCAGTCAGTTTATCAAGTAATTAAAAGAAGGTCTAAAACAACTGGAAGGAAAAAATGTCACATTACAACAACAATAAATTTGATATATTTAGTAAAAAACACATTAACATCGTCTCATTTTTAGCACAATCACATCATTAAAGTGTCAGACAGATTAGAGAGGACTGTGATGTATAGGTGGCAGCTAGCAATTTCTTCTGCTCAGTATGCTAATGTTAACCTTATATCTTCATAAACAAAGTGTTCAATCCTGCCAAATGTGTCTTGCTTTGTTGTTTTAGTCAATCTGAGTGTGACTGGCAATTAAAACAGGCAGGTTTTAAATCGCAGTAAGATAAATATATTTGAATAAGTTACTGAAAGAACACTCTAACAAATTATGGTTCTGCGTAAGATGCTTTTAAGACTATAAGGTATAGTTTTCTTTTAATTTCAATTCAGATTATTTATATAGTGC